TACCGCCTGGAGTCAGCCGACTGCTGGCGTTCCCATTCGCTTAGTCTTCAAATTTGGATTATTAAACCACTAACATGCAAATTTTTGCATATTTTTGGCCAACTTACTTTCCTCCGAGAGTGGCATACTGAGTATTGATGAGTGCTTGAGCAAAATCGGCCTGTTGCTTCTCGTCATAACCGACAGCAGTTGCCCACTGCAGTGCTGCTGCTGCAGCTGCAGCTGCTTGCTGCTGTGACTGCTGCTGCTGTTGCTGTTGCTGTTGCTGCTGCTGCTGTTCCGCTGTTAGATCAGTTTTCGTCGGCAGTATCATTAATCCATTGCCGAAAACTGTAAATTAAACTAATAAAGTAGTAAAATTGGTAAAAAAATGAGTGAAAATTAATAATTCTAGATTTAAAAAACAGGTGATGTTTTCAAAGTTTGGTCTGTGTTTAAAGCTAAGAGTTGAAAATGACTGCATGACTGCACCCTAACATGTTTTCCTACACATGACACTTAGTCCGATGCTCTTTATTCCATTGTTTCAAACACGCAGGCTTTTAAGCTTAGCAACACGAGACCCTAACTCAAAGAGTCAGAATTTGTGTTTTTTTATTCCGTCTCCACTGAGATAATCCTGAAACTAGTTTTGCGAGTTTTTCCAGTATTATTTTATGATTGTGCGATCGGGGTCATAGAGCTCGTCCTAGCTTCCTCAAGGACAATAAGGATAGTTGCCGCTAATTTCGTTACTGAGAAAGCACCAAGTTGCCCAAAGACATTGGGGGGATGAGGAAGGAGAATGCAAAAATTTGAGTTTATGGTGCGAAATTTTTGAACGGGCTGCAAAATTCCTGTAAAAAAGTATAAAAATCGGCTGAATAGTGATAAATGCAGGCAATGGGGTCCAAAAACGCTGCATGCTAGAAAATCTGCATTCAAGCAAATGGGGCACAAAAAAATACATCTTTTGGGCGAAGAAACTTTAAGAGGCAGAGATTTTGCGTTCATTTTTATGTATTTTCTGCTGTGTAACAGCAGTACAAAACGCATATTGTTACCGGGTTGTCTGTGTGTGTGTGTTTGTGTGT